AAGTTTCTGTACCTGATCGATTGTCGGCTGGCTCCGACAATGGGAGAATGCTTTACATCATTAGTTATCAGAGAAATACAAATCAAAACCACAGTGAGATACCACTTCCCACCTAGGAGGATAGCTAGCATCAGAAAGTTAGGTAATAGTAAGTGTTAGCGAGGATACGGAAAAAATTGGATCCCATGTACACCATTGACAGAACGGTACAAAGACCTGAGTTAATCGCATTGAATGGTTATTAAAGGGTTAGGGTTAGGGTTGGGGTAGAGTTAGAAGTTGAGAGAGATTGACTGTGAACTGTGGCTTGAGAAATAGTCAAGAACCCTATGGAGATACAAGCTCTCTGACCCCATTAGCAAAGACTAGCAAAGAACTTGAACTCTGCTGCCTCAGACTCACTGGCTGCTAGTGACGATGGTCTGAAGGGAGCTGGAGGGCCCACTGCGGGAAACTTGGGTCGCTGAATCCTAAATTACAGTCTCCATCGGAGGTGAGGGTAACATGGAGGAGAGCTAAGACTTTTACTGGGTTGTTACTTGGCCTGTGCTGAGGGAAACTCAGGAAGTGAAGTCGGACTAACCAGAAGGCAAAGGCCATGGCTCCTGGAGGTGGGTGGGGGTGGGAGGCAGATTGATAACAGCAGGGAAAATGGGCCAAGGCTGTCTATACTTGATCTTTTTAGTCATCAGTCAGTACCGGTTTGTCAGTGTCTGAGGACAGAGATCAATGACTTCAGTCATGGGACCAGTAGCTCACACAGAGAGGAAGGGTCGTTGTACGTAAGCCAGAGCTGAGGGAAGCATGGTGTTCATGCCCACGGGGCCACAGAATCTGAGCCACCCTCCTCTGACTTGGGCACGTTTTTAGTCCCACATTGTAAATGAATTGGCAGATTCTGAGAAATTGTGTCCTGCCTATGTTTAGCTTCTAGCAAATTAAAGGGCCACTTCTTGGATGAAGATCTCGACTTCAGATCTTCCACAAGGTGCTCCCCGTATTGTTTACTGCTGTTGAGATACGTAGTAGGGGGTCTCATTTAGTGTATACAAGACTTCGGTGAGCCAGGCATTACTGCTCCATGTCAGAGGTACGGAAGTTAAGGCACAGAAAGGGTACGAAACCTATGTGGATTCACACAGCATATTAGATGCAAAGTCAAAATCCTAATCCAATGGCTTATTAAATTTCCACTGCTTTTTAAAAAATATACCCTTGCTGCCCAATAAGGCCACAATTATCTACCCTTCTAAGGACTCAGTAACCTCCCCCAGCCCACCTCCACTCCCCAGCAATGAACTTAAACCTGAATTCACATGCTCCCTCGTGCTCCCCATCTGCAGCCCCCACCCCAGCTCACTGGGCCTCTTTTCAAACTTGTGCAGAAGTACCTCCTCATTTTGG